GATGGATGGATGGATGGATGGATGGATGGATGGATGGATGGATGGATTCTTGGCATATTACAATTTTTTAGTTTATGGTTTACGGTTTATGGTGGCTTATTCAACAAATCACAGCTTATGATGTGTGAATCAATTTAAACTATGTCCTTTTAAAATAGACCTCTTTTCTTATTTTCACAAAAGGAGCCTATTTATGGCATGAAGATCCTTCTGGAATGTTGCATCCTTGTAAATACAAGCATGTAAACTTCTTTAGGCTTGCTGTGGAATACTTTCTTAAAACTGAAGGAGTTCTACATTTAGTATTGCTCTTATAAATAAATAAATTCTTGACGTTGCTGCAAACTGAAATCTGATAGAGACCATGCCATATTAGTTTGTTTAATCATGACTTGCTGAATAAATAATAATTGGTCAGCTTGCACAAGACATAGCCCTAAAACATGGTTTATAAACCAGTAAGTTCACCAAGAGAGTAAGCCAAACCCAACAAACTAAATAACTTAGTACAGGTGAGAGGGAAGGCTGATTGCAAAGCAGCAACACCTGGGCTGCTGTTGCCCTGCCTTCTCCCTAGCCAGCATAGCAACTGGTAACTAGAGGTAACTAATTGTAGTGGAGTTGAGAGGGAATGTGATTTGTGTTCATTTATGGCAGGGGTCTTCAAACTTGACAGCTTTAAGACTTGTGGACTTCAACTCCCAGAATTGCTCCTCCAGTCATGTTAACTCAGGAATTCTGGGAGCTGAAGTCCACGAGTCTTAAACTTGTCAAGTTTGAAGACCCTTGATTTATGGAAATAAAGCCTGAAGCAGGTTAAGGCAAACAGAGGTACTGTTCTCCTAGTAGAACTCCCAAGGAGTAGTAGTGGAGGAGCAGTAGTAGGAGCTGTAGTAGAACAGGGGAAAATGGAATGGTGAGCAGTAAGCATTAGCCTTTGAGTAATGTATGTATTGCTTAGAGACCTCTGGGATTGTGTTGGCTCTCTGAGGTTTTGGAGTTTTAATATTGTTACAACCTAGATCAAATTGAAAACTAATTACAGAGAGAAAAGCAAAACCATTTAGTACTGGGGGCAACTTTCCATCCTACAGAAAACTGACATAAAAACCAATAATGTATCCTATTTTCCATCCCACCATCTGCTCAGTGATCCATGTTTATTCCATATATTTTCACTATAGGAAAGAATAGGATCCATCTTCTTCATATTCTAGAAACAGTGGGTTCCATTTTCAGGGCAATCAATTTCCTCCACAATATTTCTCTGTTTACTACTGTATGTAAGAGGCTGCACTGAGGTCTATAAAAGGCAGGAAACAGTTGTTTCCCCTTACATATTTTGTAATTAGATAGTTCAATAATGCACTTTACATCTACCCAACTCTGGGCTCTGCTCAAGAGGAACCTACCTAGCATATAATTATCTATGAAGCTAATAAGCCTATAATTGGTAGGGTCCTTTTTATTCCCCTTTTTAAATATAGACACTACTATTCCACCTAAATGGCATATGCAAGGTGTTATTTGTGTGTAAATACAATACCAATTTATATGGCCCCCACCATTTGAGGTATTTTTTTTAAATAGTTCAGCCAGTCTGCCCCCTTAATTTGTTACTTCTCAGATCTTTTATGATGCACTTGATTTTGTCTAATACTGGTGGCCACAGGGATAAAGCTTCAATAGCAGATAGATCAGTACTTAAGCACTGTTTCTCCACATGTACTGAGAGAGCAAAGAAGTGATAATAAGTTTCCCATTCTCCAGCAGAGATTGATATATCAACTGAGAATAAAACAGCCCAAAATTTCTGTTGCTAAGTGGGACAGTTGGTAAGTGAGTTTTGCCCCATTTTATGTCCTTTCTTGCCACATCTTCATCACCATTTGTATTTTGTTAATGCCTTTCCAGTCCCTTGCAAGCATCTTTGCTTACAATTTGCCAATCCGATGTGTTGTTTTTAACTTATATCAAGATTTATCAACAACAAAACCTTTTACTCTTTAAACATTGGAGCGGTTGTTCCACTGCCCAGAAAATCTGAGTTCAGATCACTAATATCACCACCAGAATA